TGTGGGTGGGTATTCTGTTTGTAATAATTGTTTGGATACACTATATTTTTAATATGCTAGTTGTGATAATTTCATGCCAAGTCATATTTTATGTTCATCCATAGTCATATTTTATGTTCCTAAAGTTAACAGAATGACTTTCAATCTAGAAAAGACAAAAGAAATGCTAATATAGCATTTTTTTCAATTTTTCCAAAAATTTCTGTTTCCCCCCGGAAAAAACCGGGAAAAAACGGGTTTTTTCCGAGTTTCAAAATTTCTGGAAATTTTACATCTCTACCCTTTTCCCAAATCCAGAAGCTGCAGCTGGTGCAAAATATGGCAGCCAGCCTGTTGATGAGTCTCTCCATACGAGCCCCATATGGTCGGGAGCCTGTCTACCTTAGGGACCGCCTTTCCCCATATGTGCCCCAGAGAGCACTGAGGTCAGGGACTCAAAACCGCCTGACCCTGGCCTGAAAGACACCAGACTGGCTATTACGAGGGCAAGGGCTTTCTTGGTGGCAGCTCCACACTGGTGGAATGAGCTCCTGGAGGATATCAGAGCCCTGCGGGACCTTTTACAGTTCCGCAGGGCTTGTAAAATGGAGCTCTTCCACCAGGCCTTTGATTAGGAGCCGCCACTGACCATTGCAAACTGAACACTCCACAGCCCTATATAACAATGCCGGATATGGCCTCTCCATCAGACCATTTAGAGAAATTCCCGCCATCGGTTTACACTAGCACTTTATCTAACTGTTCTTATTGATTTTTTTAAATCGTATTTTACTGTATTTTAACCTCTGTAAGCCGCCTTGAGCCAGTCTGCACTGGCAAGGCAGGATACAAATTGAAATAAATAAATAAATAAAGTCCTGGGTCAGACCTTCTGGTCATCAGTAAAACGTCTGTCTTGTTGGGATCAAGCTTCAATTGATTAGCCTGGATCCACTCCAAACTGCATTCAGGCATCTGTTCATGGCTTCTATAGCCTCTCTTGGATTGGCCAGAAGTCACCTGCATATTGGTGACAACTCAGCCCAAATCTCCAGATGACCCCATTATGCTTTTTCATAATGCAGCACCCCACAGACGAGAGGCCAAGGAGCTGAGCAGCAGTCCCCCCCAGCACCATAACCAGGCCTGAAAACAGACTGGAAAGAATTCAACAATCCGCTTAATTTTATTATTTATTTACCTCATTTCATTGCCCATCTTTCTCACTGAGACTCAAGGCAGAATATTCAGAGTGAGTCAAACACGATCGATAGGATGGGACAACCAATAAACAAATAATGTTTGGATTGTGGAAATTTCAAAACAAGCAGAAAACTGAAAACAGAGCCGAAAAAACACTTACACAGTAACATGACATGTTAAATGATGCAGAAAATTACATAGTAGGATCGTACTTACAGCAACAGACAGTATGTACAATAGACAGTAGTACGGCCCACAGTCTCTATATATTTACCAAAGAATCTTTCTGAAACATCTGTGTAAAAAAGCACTCTTGAATTAATTCAGTTTTGCATAGTTTGTGGAAAGCCAGGAGAGTGGGAGTCTTACTGACCCAACCAGGCAGTCCATTTCATATAGTGGAGGCCACAACAGAGAATGCATGTGTGGGGGCAGCTATTGATTTTCCCCATTTGCAGGATGGCACCTGCAGAAGAGCAAAGCTTTCATGGCAGAGTATAGGGGGAGAGGCTGTCCCACCCATATGAAAGGCCAAGACCATGAAGGGCTTTGTATGTGACAGGCAATACTTTGAATTGAGCCCACTACCTGATGGGATGCGAATGGTCTGACTGAAGAATAGGAGTAATATACATGCTCTGCCTAGTTTCTGATAATAACAACAACAATAATACAGTCCACAGTAAACAATGGCCAAAAAAAAAGCAAATAACAACTGTGTACTGCACAAACCAGCACCAAAGTTAACAAAAAGAGACTTCAACACAACACATGTAATCCATCATAGGAAAATACAAAAGTCCACAATATCCCAAAGGGAAAGAACAAAGTCCAGAATAGAAATTTCTCAAAGGGAAACAATGAAGTCTGGAATAGATATCAACACTTTTCCTAGGTATTGTTCAGTGTTTCGGACTTCTGGTCCTTCCTCAGGAACAAAAAGCCACTACAGGAAGTCTCATTGCAATTTCTTAACAGGCAAACTTTATTCAGTTTCCTTTATCCAGGTCTAAGCGTTAGAAAGCACCTACCAAGGTTGCTATTATGTAACCAAGCTGCAGCATTCTGTTTCAACTGGAGTCTCTGAGCTGGCTTTGAGGGGAGGTGTAGGTAGAGTATATTACAGTCCAGTTTTGATGTTACCATGTCCAGATTGGCCATGTCAAGGTAGGGGGCCATCTTCTGGCTAAACTGAGTTGGAAGAAAGTATTTTTTTGCAAATGCATTAACTTGTTTCTCCAACAGCAATGCTGCATTCAGTATAATGCCTAGGCCCTTAACCGAATTGTCAGGGGTCAGTCAAACTTTCCAACCAGCATCACTTTCATCTTGTTTGGGTTCAGTTTCAGTTTGTTCAGTTTCAGCCATTTAACTCCAGCAGTCAGGAACTGGCTCAAGATCTCTACTGCATCACCAAGGGATATGGACAGAAATATAGAGCTGGGTGTCATCAGCACATTGATGACATCCAGTTCTAAAGCTATGAATGATTTCCCTAAAGGTTTTCCATAGAGGTTGACTAATATGGGACCCCAAGGAACCCCGCAAGACAGGTTCCACAATGGTCTCCAATGGTAACACTTTGAGTCTGTTCTGTAAGTAACTATTTAAACCAGTCCTAGGCAACATTCCCAGATGCCTATATCTGCTTCCAAATGCCTCAACAGGATGGCATGATCTACTGTATCAAAGGCTGCAGATAGTTCCAGGAATGCTTGAGGATGTCCAGCCACCACCTATTTAATCACCTTTCTCAAGAAAGATTAGTTTATTGTTTCTTCTTTAGAAGGGGTGCTTAGTGGTGGATAAGACAATGAATGTAACAAGTTATGTTTCTTTACAGCAATGGACAGCAGAACCCTGCTTTAAACACTTACACATCCACATATCTAAAGGTTTCCTGAACTGACAGGGTGTTTCTATCAGAAAGGAAGAATGATTTTATTTGGAACTCCTCCTTAAGCCCAAGAATCTTAGCGTAATGAAATATGGTCAGTTCGTCTCTTAAGTTATTTCCCTCAATTCCCTTATAAGTCCCTAACCTACTATTTCCCTAAAGTAACACAAGATACCTGTTCTGTTCCTGCCTCTTTCTTGGCCCCTGAGCCCTATGTACCTCTACTATAGACATCCGAGTTCTTTTTCTTCACAGGCAAAGCTTAACTACCTAATTATACTCCCAGTTGTTTTCCTTGTTTCTCTGTTGCTTTCCCAAACCCTGTCTGAAGCAACGGCAAACTTTCCCTCCACTTTACTCTCGTCTCCCTCGCCCAGAGGTTCCACAGTCTCTCATTGGCTGATGCCATTTAGTGTCTGCCTACCTCCCCTGTAGGCAGTGATTTGCTGGGTTGCCTGGAGGGCAAAACTAGAGATCTGTCACAGCTTCTTTAGTAGTGGATATATCACAGCCTGTTCCAAAGAAGAAGGAGAAGAAGAGGCAGGAACAAGATTTATACCCCGCACTTCACTACCCAAAGGTGTCTCAGAGCTGCTTACAAAATCCTTTCCCTTCCCCTCCCCACAACAGACACCCTGTGCGGTAGGTGGGGCTGAGAGAGCTCTGACAGTAACTGCTCTTTTTCAAGAACACGGAGGCTAGAATAAAATAGACAGGGAGGGTTTAAAGTCCAGCAGTGGTTGACACTGGGCATCTGCTGTGGGCCCGGCAGTAGCTGATACCAGCAGCCGCTGTGAGCCTATGGCGGAGAATGCTGGCAGCCAATGTGGACCAGGGTGCCACAATGGCAGACACCAGCAGCTACTGCGGGCCTGGGATTGACAGATGAGGATGTGGACAGCTGCCCTAGGCCCGAGTGCCACGGCAGGGATGCCAGCAGCCACTGCGGGCCCAGGATCAACAGATGAGGACCACGGCAGCCACTCTGGATACCTGGCTCAATGTTGGGTGGTGGGACCTGGAGCCTTGCCAGCTCAGCAGTGGTGGAGGGAATATGAGATTGCCCCCCTGCAAGTCTCACAAGCCCACCTCTTGTCTGTTATAATACACTGTTGTTACTCTTAGCCCAACATCTATGTTCTGAGAAGTCACAGACAGTTCCGATCCTTGCACTTTATATATAAAATCAGGTGTTCTCCCCCCCCCCCATAACCATCACTTTACCATTATTTATATTGCATCTCATCTGCAATTCATTTGATTTGGCAATATACTCTTGGATATCCTTGTTTTCTGTCTAGGATTTTATCAACTGCAATAATGTGGCATCACCACAGCCTGGACTGCATAACTACCTACTTCACCTCCATATATTTTATGAAAACCAAAAAGGACCAGTTCCAACAGACTAGCTTGGGTGACACCAATGGTTACTTCGTTAAGGAAAGCTTGCCCTTTTATATGTTTAGTGATTCTAGTCTTAAGGCCACATGAAAATCGCCAAGCTACTACATAAAAAATAATCCTGTCTTCTTTTGAAAGAGCAGTACTAATTTATTAGCAGAGAAACAACTAATTTATTAGCAGAGAAACAACAAGAGAAAGCAAAAAAGAATCTGGTTTTCATTTTCAAGTCTTTCTTCAGTGTGTTGATTCTAGGAACTTTCACAGTGAGAGAATTTGAGAAACTGCTCCCAATGATTTTTCCACATAAAACCAAAAATCCCTTATAAAGACCTTTTCCACCTTAGAAATGAGCATATTGATCAGCCTTAAGAGTTTACACAAAAATACTCTAATCTGTTAATATTAAAATAGCACATTTAAATATAGTAAGCAGGAGATAATAAATTACATTTCACCCCTATTAATATCCACTGCAAACAGACTGCTTTTGAATAGTCATTAAAGTGCAACTTACCACAACTGGAAATTGGCAGCTTGAGTAGAGTCACAGAAGTCAATACCCATTGAGGTTGTAATAGATTCCCCAGGCTCAAGAGATTCTAGTGAACAAAATATTTTGAGCATGAAACTTAACATGGGAAGGTCATCTAAACACTAAGCAAAAACGTGCCTTGTTGAAATATTAACTAGGTTCTGTTACCTTAGATTATTTATTAAATGCTCTGCATGATTTTAAAACAAATAATTTGCTGTTTATTGTTCAGATATTAACCATTGTGACTGTAAAGGAATAAATTAAATAGGGACTGGTGTCTGACCCTTTTAGGTTCTTCAAAGTGAGCTACATGTAGATACATATTTATCAGTGTCAGAAATGACACCGGAGATATTGAGGTGACCTTGGTAAGATGGTGTTTGAAAACCCCCTGAAGTATGCCTGCTGTAGCAAGTCATATTTTCAAATAATGATTCCATCTCAAAGTAGTCAATATACTTGTATAATGACTTAAATAATTTTTTGTGATTTTTAAAAAAATGGTTATTAAAGGCTTAATGAACCAAAGTCCTATTTCAATAAATAGTGAAAGATGAATTTACAGTTTCAGAAGGCAATATATGTATAATATTACAAATAATTTAATACTACCTTATACATTATTGCTACTGGATTAAGGTATTGCAACATTATGGTCCTTCTTTGTACTAGTTTTTGAACATGAGCTCAATGAAAACTTAATTACCAAGATATTCATTTACTTTAAACTTCATTGAAAGTTCTTCTGCAACTAATGATTATTAGTCAACAACTCTATCATATGTTTCCCCTCCTTTCTACATAAGATACATTCTGGGAAAAGGCAGGTATATGGACTAATTTTTAATTAAACTGTTTTCAATCCATTCCTACACTTGTGTACTCCCTACAATGCAACATGTAACACGGGTATACAATCAATCTCTTCCTCCTCCCTTTCCCCTTCTGAAGAAAAAGGTAGCACACAAACTGTAAAATAAGGCAATACCACACTATAGATGAATAAAAAATGCATGAAAGTTTTCATTCATGTTTTAGTAACTTCTCATGTCAGCTACTGTAATGTATGGGGTGTGGGTGGGCTGACTTTGAAGTTTAGAAGTTTCCTATAGTGCAGCATTACTACATACAGGCTGAGAAAGCAAGCAACTACTCTGAGCGTCATCGGCTTATTAGCTCCTGAGTCCAGTTCTAAAGTGCTGGCAATCTTAAAACCATACATGGGCTTCACAAGGACATGGAACCACACTTTCATTCCAGTGGCACCTGTCAAGGGGGATATTTTATGCTTTGAAGCATCATTGCTGTACTTCTAGCATACAGCCAAAACATGGTTAATGGTTTCTTCATGATGGAACTTAAAACTACACACCCCTTTTGAACTGATCTTCTTCGTGGTCTCTGTGCTTCACACCAATGGGATCTAGTGCGCCTGCGCTGGATCTGCCGGTGCCTAGCAAGCTCTTCTAGAAGGATTTTCGTGCCTGGCCCAACTGAGCATGCCCAGGAGCCCCAGTGAGCATGCCCAGAAGGGCAGGCACGGACATCCCGCTAGTTCTTTCCTTTCCGCCGCGCTGAGCAGACCTGTCTTCGAGAGGTCTGGCCGGATCGCTGCCTTTTGATCACTTTTAGTGACTAGCTCTCCGTTTTAGCCTTAGTATTTCTTTGCTTTCGTTTCCTTTTTTCTGTTTTTTTTTTTAAAAGGAGTCTTTTTGTTTTTCGTCGTCTGAGGTAAAATTACCTCAGGCCTTCGGGCCGCTGGCCCAACCCCCCCCCCACCTCCTTGTCGTTGGCTTTTTCTCCTCAGTCTATGGAGGAGAAGAAGACAAAAAAGTCGAAAAAGTGGGGATTTTTCAACCGCTGTCGTTCCTGCGGAAGTAAATTGGCTCCCCCAGACGGCCATAAGTACTGTATCTTTTGCCTTGGGGAGACCCACAAGACAGACTCTTGTGAACATTGTGCGCAGTTTTCCAACCAGACTCGGAAAAACAGAGCGGCACGTTTAAGAGTTTTTCTCCTGGAGAAGGCGCTTCAACCGATGGCTGACCCGCCAGCTCTTTCTTCCGTTGCCATGTCTTCCGCTGCCGATACATCGACATCGAAGCCGTCGACGTCAAAAGCTAAGTCCGTCTCCGATACCGAAAGGTCGAAACCGAAGGTACCGAACGTTCCTTCCACAGCTTCCACCCCTGCTAAGAA